CGCATGCGCTACTAGCCGCCTCGCCATTGACTGTTGTTCACATTTGATATTAAAATGTTTGACGTCTTAATGAGCTGTCGAAGGATTTCAACATAAGAGTTTCAAAAATTCAACGATTTTGACAATATTGCTCGTTTTATTAGGTAGAACATTTATCTGTAACAACAAAATTATATGGATAAATTGACCAATTATTTCATTATGATGAGCAAATATGTCCGAAAAGAAAATGGGTTTACGAAATATTGTGGGTGGTTTTGTCGCAGGCTACGAATAACTGAAGATTAAGAAAATAACACCAAGATGTTGGATACCTAAAAACTATGCTAAGGGTCAAAAAGGCTCGTACATTTCAGAGATGCGTGATAAACAATTTAAAACTTTACCACTTTACCAGAATTGAAATATCAGAAGTCTTTACATGTAATGTTTTGGACCATGCGGCCTATTTGCACTTTACGCATGAAGTTTAAAACAAAATCGAGGAAATGTGTGACTATCTTTTGCGATTTAACCGAATATTTCTTGTCGAAAGTTAGACAGAAAACAAGGCATTTCCTCTGAAAAGTGATTAACCGCGTCACAAGGACGCTCAGGCGCTTCAAAGGGATCGTCCCCTCTCTTCTGCTACTCGAAAATCTCGAAAATATTCATTATAGTTCGAGGTCTTCGACGGCTATGGTGACCGTGCAGCCTGTGGCGCTACGGCAAAACAATGAAAATTTTTAGAATGAAATATCATGAAGAAAGTGTACTGAGGAGAGTTAGAGACAACATACAATAAAGATAAAGGGAAGGGAAGAATAAAGATAAAGTGAAGATATAATACCAAACATTTCAAAGTGATGTTTTTATTTCTTATGGTCAAGAGCAAAGGCTTTGAGCTTCATTCGTGAACAGTTAGTAAATAAACTATTGTCGGCTGGTAGCAATACGCCTTTCTTCCAAAACCTTTTGTTTATTTGTTTATGTGACATTTATATATTTGTATTATACATTTTAGTTATATTTCTCAACGGTCTCAACGGTAACTTGCGTCGCCATTAATTGAGATAATAATAATTTCTAATAATAATATTAATAAGAAATTATAATAATAATAATAGAGATAATTATTTTATAGTACTTCTGTTAATCAATAAAAAACAAAATATTTTGAGAGTATTTTCTATTTATGCTAGTGCTAGTAGTTCAAAAAAAAATCAAATGATTCCTCATATTTTTATTTCACAGCGGAAAACGAGGGGAATGCCATGGGATAAATCCATGCGCGATCGCTTCATATTTAATTCTCATTCGCATGTCGTCACTTGGCAGCCTTAGCTCGGCTAGAATTATTAATTAAATCGCTTTTTTATTATAACAACATAAACCACGATTTTCAGTGAGCCAATGCTAGAGTTATGACAATTTCGAGAAATTAAATTCGTAATCCTGAATATATTACGATTTTTTAGTAATTTAATTTAGATTGGCAGTAGTAAAGGATGAAAACTTGTCTTTTTGATGATAAAATTAGGCTGACGAATCCAACATAAACCGATACTTTTATTTTATATAATTTGTTTTTGCACGTACTTGTTGAACGATTACCTCATGTCGTGAATTCATCACTTATAAACAATGAAATATTCGACAATTGATAAGATTTTCAAAATTTGCATGACTAACATATTAAAAATTCTTTCAATACAACCATATGTTCCCATGCAGAATAATGTTCTTGACTGTAAAGTAATATCATTCTTGATAAGACTGTAATGAATTATGCCATCGCTCTAATTAGTCTGAATAATTATCTCAGATGAATATATCATTGTTCAGTGTCTGTTGTAATGCCGCTATATCCCCTCGTTCTAATTCCCGTTAATTATTAGCAGCCCAAGCCATGCTATATATCATCACTCCTGAAGAACGTGCGAAGTGTATATCCTATAAGATATTCTGCAATGATCATGAGTCAGCCATTCGGTGGCCACCAATAATCCACCAATAATTTCTAAGATTTTTTAACTCTTTGGGCTCCAAACTAGTAAATCTAATCAATAACATTTGCTTATATAATTTCTGAATTTATGAAACAGCTTAGTTTGTTCGTGGGAAGTGTCACTGGTGCATATTATTTATAAATTATTATTGAATTATTTTCTACCTTCAGGAAAATGTTTGTTTCTAGCCTTAGTACCATTCTGACAACACATGAGAGTGTTTATTGATAGTTAATAACGTCAGTTAATGTTATTGTGAGTCTGTTAATAACTATGAGAAGATTAATAACTGATGAAGACAGTTAACAAATTTTGATTGTCGTGCGAGAACAAGAAATTACCTGTTCGTAAATACTAAATACCAATCGTCAATTTCATACGAAAAATCTTCATCGAAAACTTTAAATAAAATCATAGTACAAAAAAATTAAATAGAGAGCTGTGAAATTTCTGGCAATGAGAGTAAATGGCTGAAAAATGCAAATCGTAATTTGAAAAATGCAAGACGCCTGTGTCAATTTAGAATTTGAAAAAATATCCAATTGCATGGAGCAAAATAAATATAATTCCGATTACACATTATAAAAATTTCTTATTGTAAATGGAAATGCGCTAAGCGTAAATGAGAATTTCACAACGAAACGTATTTCCCATTGTGGCAATCTCTGGGATTGCATTTGGCTGAAGTGTCTTGGGATATTCCTACGAGATAAAACGATAGGGCTGGACATTGAGGACATTAATGAACGTTTATCAAAAGTTTTACGTTAATAATCACGGAGTTTTAATGAACTCACTTCAGTTTTTTTAGAAATCCCGTCACTTGCGATCAATATCGGTGTGCTTTTCATATACAATCGATCTTGCTCACAGATATAAGACGTTGATGCTGTTCTTTTCACACATAAATTGCAGAATTTACATCCTGTCTAATTCAGAGTTAATTTTATATACAATAAAATAATTTATTTGATCTAAGTAGAAGAAAACAGCCAATCTTAATCTGGCTTTTGAGCACCTCATATATCGAATACAAGTGTGTAATACTATGGAAAATTCCAGCTTCCAAAAAGATTAATTCTCAATAATAAATGCAAGCTGATACAATATAAGACTATTCATTCAATTCATAGCATCAGCGCAACCCCACCTCAAGAGAAATACCTTTCCCGTACCTTTGATCAAGTAACATTCACTTTGAAGCACCGGCATTGTAATCAAGCCTTTATAAGCCCCAGGCTTAACGCAAAGATCGACAAAGCTACGCAAGCGCAGAAATTTTTAAGCCAATGCCAACGGAGTACCCTTGATTAGAGGGGAAAATAATCGCCCATGATTGCTCACAAGACCTCATGGGATAAGTAAACTTTATGGAAGTAGTTTTTGTATTAATTAAGAATTATTATCGAATTCGACAAAAAATTCAATCTAAGAAATTACGTGCAGAAAGAAAATTTATTTTCTGTGCAATATGCAGCACCATTTTCTATCATTTTAATCACGGTTTTCAACTACGCAAGATGAGCTTTAATCAAAATTTTTATGTCCTGCAGAAGTACATCTACAGGCACAAATTATTTAAACATCTTCACCGATGCAGTGAAATTGAACATTATTTTCCATTGATTAAGTGAATATTGGTTTAAATTAACATCTTAAACATAAAAACAATGAAGTGATAGTGAACACAAAAAAGTGATCTGAAAGTTGATTCTTCACATTAAGAAATTTTTAGAACAGCGTTGGTGACGAATGCGGAAATTGCTTTCTTCTGCTGGAAGTGAGGAAATCATTCATTTGTATTCCGGGTCACGAAGTCCCCTTCCAGGACGCTCAAGCCAGATCCTCAGGAATCAAGCCCAGAGAAGACACGGAATAAATTGAACTTCCTAACCCTATTTAAAATTATCGGGGCATAATGGGCGGGAATACGGCGGCCGGCCGACGGTAGGCCGTGCCTGACCCTAGCGTTCCTGTTTAAGATGAGGATCTAACCCAGGAATGCAAGCGAGTGTAACTCAGCGCTGAAGCGCAAGTTCCGTTGCTCCTGCGAGATTTGCATCGAATAAATGCCAGGAAATAATTGGTTTTCCCCAGAAGGAACGTCTTCGGATGATAAGTGGCCCTAGAAGCAAGTACCAAAAAATAACAAGAGCGATGGAAGCAAATGGAAATGAAACAGGCTAGTAAGTTCCAGATACCAATCCTGCTTTTGGAGATCGACTCAACTAAGGCACAATATGGCTTTCTGACACAAGACTCCCATTCCCCCTGAGAAATGTTTCAGAGAAATTAAGACGGTTCAGCTCGAAGGACTTGGCGACCCCGGTAGATCATTCTACCCGGCTTGGCTTTCAGCGTAAATATTTTTGACGGATATTTACGATGACGGATTGCGTCGATGACATCGTCGTGCGGCGCCGAGCCAAAATTGACGTTATGGCTCGACAAAAAACAAAGATTGCTGCGCATCGAATATGGCGAGCCTCGATATTGTGTGTCCTATGTTTTTGTGTTTCCGCATCTGCAACTACGCACAAGCCTGGCAATCCTCTCCAAGTAAACGGGAATTTCCAGGCACAAAAAGTAGAACAGGGACAGAAGAAATGTGGAAAGATTGGGATCAACGAGAATGCATCTCCATCGATTCCGACGGATGAGATATCCTTGGGGAATTTAGCTGGAGTGTTTGCCAAACAAACGACTGTCTCCTCACGCCTATCAGACATTAAGAGAAGCATTCCCGTTCCACCAGAGAACAGCAGACAAAACTCTGATGAGCAACTTGCCACGCAAATAATATCTTCAACTTATGATGTGAGAGAACCTAATTTAATCAAGCCTATAAGAGTAAAGCGGAAAAGAAGCAAAGAAGTTGTCTATCATAATCCATCCTTCTTAAGATTTAACAACCACGAATCCAATCAAAAGCAGGGCTCAAATTCTGATCTTAAACGCAATGAATTTCAAAAGGTGTTTTCTGCTCTCGAAGAACCTGAAGATTTCGACGAGATGTCTTCCATTTCTGGTAAATCGGATAAATCTCAATCTAAGTACGACCTCAAACCAGGAATGGATTTTATGACGTTCGATTTTGATGTTAATAAAAACACGTACAATAACTTGTACACTATTTTAAGTAATTTATCAGCTGAAATCAGTCCATCGCGTCCAAGTCAGAGGAGACCGAACCTTTATAGAAAGGAAGTCAACGGAGCAAAAAGCAAATCGCTGTCTTCCACCTCCATGATTTCTCAGTCGGTGGCGGAACCTTCGGGCAATCTTTTCTGGAATGGAGGGAATCAATACATTTCCGAAAGTAAATCAAACGGAGAAAAATTTACAGTTGGGGAAGATGCCAGGGCTGCCTCAGAAGCCGATCGAATAGTGGCTGAGAGTCGTATTGGGAAATCTGAGAACATTGAGCTTGGAAAAGTCACCAAGGGAGTACAAAGCTTCGGAAGGAACTCTGATATTCCGTTTGATGTTCACTCACGGTCCATTGAACATAGAACTACAATAAGCGATAACTTGGATCGCACTGCCTACGGTTACACTTATTCCATGTCTAAGGAAGATGCGGAAGCTGAGAAAAACAATGAAAAAGAATTCGACGCTATAACTGACGCTTCTGTCTCGCAAGATTCTCGCATTACGAGTGCTTCGCTTTGTAAACTATGGCAACACTCCTGTGCTGACGGCACTTGTATAGGATCTGACAATTACTGTGACGGCGTCGTGCATTGTGCTGACTACACTGACGAGCCTCCTGGTTGTACAGGTAAGAGCTGCCTGTAATATCGTATTTGTTATATGTGCCTGTAATAACTTTAGCCTGTTAGTTTTATATTGCGCTTAATTATTACGGTGAGAAACTTCATTGTGTTTAAGGAAAGCGACCATGGAGAGATTTTGTTGCGTTAGTATTGTATAAATGGGTATATATCATTTAAAAATGTAAACAGTGAACATTGTAAAGAGCATTAAGAGTGAACATGAGCTTACTCAACATTATATGAACTTTTATACAATTTGATTTATTGAAGGATGTTTGGAAAAGGTAAGGTTATAATTTTCCTTTACAGTGAAAATTCCTTGCGTCAAAAAAATGTTGACTGATCATCAAATTTTCTGAGAAAATAAGGATTTTTTTGGTATTTTTGAAACATCGCTCGTGTTTTAAAGTAATCTTAATTTTTGCGACCAATCCGTCGGTCGCTAAAAATAATTTCAATATTTCGCCTTCAGTTTCGGTGCCCGACTTATAAACGCAATTTGATTACAAACAGGAGAATATCACAATGAACGTTAACAAAGAAGTTATTAACAGCTTGGTAGTGAAACTCTTCATACATTACTTTCCTTAAGAAATTTCTTCACTCTCTTGGACACGCTGCATTATGAGTAGAAGGCCAGCAGGGAGAAGAAAAAACCTCAATTCGAAAATACTGTAAATTCGAGGGTTAAGGGAGACTAATCAATCTCCAATTAAGGAGATTAATGACAATGTAACAGTAATTATTTCTAACTAAAACCTCAATCATTTTTTGATAAATTGTTCAATCATTACTTTTAGCAATGGTTTGGAGGTGTAATCGCTGCAGCAATATTTTGAACAGATTTTCTATATTTTTGAGCTATAAATCACTTCTCGCTTCCTTATATATTTTTACAGCTATTAACCGCCAAATTATCTACTTTCAGTTAAATTATTTTCCAGCTCTATTTAGAATATTATTCATTTTGTAGTGACTCGTGAACATTCCTCGTATTTTTAGCATTTTTATTTTATTTATTTCATCTATATATATTTATTTTTGCATTGTGATGAAGAGAGAAGCCTGGATTATTTCATGATGTGCTGGCCTACTCGAGCAATACAGGATGGTCGGGATTGCTAGTCTAGTTTCTCCACAAGTGTTTTGATGTTCACGGCCAGGCGAGCGTCTCAGTAAGTTCTTTATAAGCTCTAACCTGCTTTATCGGCAGTATTTCGAGGCGCCTTATAACTCCAGGGCGCTGACCTTAACTCCCGCAAGATCTAAAGCTTCCTGAAGCATCTCACGTTCTCTCAGTAAACAGGGCTCCTCCTGCCGGAATTTATACAGTTTCCTGAGCACAATACGTATAGTAATTTATAATAAATGAAATGGGGATAACAATGCTGCCTCAATCTTAAGCCTTCATCTGCTGATGTTTAGCTACGCGGTGATCGTTTTTTTACATTTGTAATTAACAGGTTAAATTCAAAACTGGCAGGAAAATTATTAAGTGGAATAAAACTGTTATATTTGAGTCATCCCTGCCATGTACACAAAAAAAATCATGACCGGAAATGAGGAATTATCTCTGAATTGTTACTCTCCTATCTTCGACGAACATTTGTGGGTATTTAAAGTAAAATGTTCAGATACATTAAAGTAAATAAAAGCGTAAATAAATGCATTCGAATGGATACCGTGAGATTCACGGTATTCGTTGACATAGCCTACTCATTACTCACAATTGGAATATTTAAACAATACCTTAGTTACTCGATTAGTTCATGGAAATATAAAATCAATCTCAGGTTTTGATTTTCATTTATATCTACGTACGAGCAGCTTCATTCAACTTTCAAACGTTGTTTTCCAAGATCAAAAGTTAACATAAAATACAAGAAACCCTTTTATAATACAGTCTCAGCTGAATAATAAATTCGCCATACAAACAGTCTACTCTGAAAAGACAGTTTGCATTTCAAAGTTGCAGATAAGCTTGCGAAAAAGCGGCTTTATCTCTGAAGTGTCAATACTGCTTCGTTCCAAGGATGTTTACAGCTCGCGACGCTGCGCATCTGTTCCCTCGCCTGTCAATACAAAAGCGTTTTCTCAAGGTTGAAATTTTTTGTCTCGAGGTCAGACCTTGAAAAAACAACTATGCAGAAGATGGTACCATCGGATATCATTGAAAAAAATACGTTAACATATGTCATATATTTTGATTTCTTTATTCGTGAATTTAATTTAATTTTGATTGAAATCTGAACCATGAATGCTATTTTGCTTATTTTTTTACGAAGAAAATGCTTAAATTAAATTTCATTATAGCATTTTCAGAAGAGCCAATCTCCGGTGGCAGCAATCTCCAGCCGATTGCGCTGCGTCTTGCAATTGACGTCGTGCATATGCATGACTAGCGCTGCTCTACAGGGGGCGGCTCCACGGCCAATATTACACAACAATAATGCGCTTTAGCCAACGCTACAGGACCGGCTTGGCAAAGGGCGTATAATCAGTCAATGTGATAATGCTGGGTTCAAATGTTGAATTATATTACTGAGTTCGGGAAAATTGAATCTGTGATTGATAATAAATTGTCATATGAGGCTCGAATTGTTAAAATCAGCATTTATTTGTTTCGTTTAATGTTTTATGAAAATTATTTTGTATTCAAATCTCGGCATAAGCCTGTGGACAATAGTTAAACCGTCTCGGGATAAACTCATAGCGAGAGCATTGCTCTTCAACGCTGTACTTGAATCTCAAAATGCGGCTAGTAATTTCTTAAAAGATGTCGTTGACGAAAGAACGTCATAATGTAATTTTGAAGCAATTTCAAGACCACTTAAGCTAATTCATGCCGATGCCGTATCTTCCTCTCGCTCGACGTGGTCCGGAAAAGTTCCGAACTGTGCATAAACTTTCTATAAAAATCACTAACTTGCATTGACAGAATTCATGGACAATATTGTCATTTTGTAAACGAGTGTATTGACAATTTGGACGAAGACTTAAATGTAGATTCCCAATTACGAGCGAATTTTTAGATTGAGACTTAATGTGTCTTATTGAAGACCAGAAAAATCAGTTAACGTGCCTTATTTTCTTATTTTTATTGATTAAATCCCTATTCGAGATATACTTGTTCTTGCCGCTAATTTTTGTACCATTTTCACCATTTGCAACTTATTCCGAATTTACGCATCAAAAATTCGAGAGTTTATGAAATTTACCTTAGATTAGATTTTCTCTCTTAGATTAGATTTTTTCATTTTTCATTCGATTTTCGTTTGCTCCAACTTGCGCTATGATTGCTATTGCAACTCCTACGCCAGCATGAATAAAATGTACAATTTTAATAGCCATGAAAGTCTGCCCAATCATTACTACCGGATAAATATTTAAGCGCCATTGACGATATCCGATAATTGGGTGATTTATTCAGGGCAATAAATTGATTTGATATAAAATCTTACTAGCGGCAGCTGCACGTCACCCACGCAGCAGGTGAAACTTAGAGCACATCAAGTCCCCTCATATGTTCGCTAATTAGCTCCCGTCAAATTGGATGATTAACTTCAATGCCACGCTTAAATTAGGTGGGATGAATGGTCGTGTTCAATTACAAGCTATTCCCCTGCACGTGGGCCTATTAATTTTATTAATAAAAGCTTAGTGATCAAATAATTAATCAACCAAATTCTCATAATTAATGACAGCATACCATTTAAAGTCTCATTTAGGTGAATCAGCGACTGAAAATCTGAAATTTCAAAAGAATTGTTCGAAAAATTTTTGGATGCTTTGACTTTGGGGCAAAAGTATTTGTAGCAGTTTTAAATCCAAAATTAGCAGAAATTAAATTAAATTGAATTGATATACATGCAAAATCAATTTTACGTTTGGGCTCTTTGAGCCAGCCTAACCATTTTTCCCGCAATCGTGCTTTCATCAATTCACCAACTGTAACGACATTGGCGCTGACCAAGGTTTCGAGGAGCCTTTACAGCTTATTTATTATAAAACTTTGTAGTTTGTTTGTGCAATTCAATTTATTATGAGGCGAGAGTATTACCTGAGTCGAGAGAAGACATTTGGTGATTAACACCCGCGCAATCCGTCCACTTAATGATCTCAAATGTTAGTCATCATCTAGTAAAACGAATCGCTCAAGGAAACATGTAACAATAAATTTAGCAAACATTCGACAACGAATTAAATGAAAAAAGTAGCAATAAACATACCTAATTTAATAAGTGAAGAATGAAATTACGAAAGGAATAAAATTTGTGAAAACTTATGCTTAATTTATTATAAATACATTTTCTTGGTATTTCTTCTGTGGATGGAGACATTAATGTGACACTCATATATCTTCAACATACCGACATTAAACTGTTACATCGGGACTTGCTTCATTGACTTGTTTATTATCAATATTCATTATGAGGCCCTCATTAGTGAATTAATTAAACATATACTGTAAATATGATAGCCAATCATGCAGGTTCCCTCGAAATTATAGATTATCTGTAGCACACCGGAACACTGACGCTATTATTAATTTAGCGATGGAGACTGTAGCACTGGTGCTTCAGTTTCTACTACTGAATTGTTAGTAACGATGAAGTATATCTTCCAATATTATAGGATATTATTTGAATTATAACGTTAAATGGCCTTCGCGATTCAATAGAACGCTTTCGTGGCATGATAACGCAGAGGGATATCCTTAGCATAAACTAATAGACGTATCAGATCAGAGTATTTAATTATCTACATACAGCAAATAGTACGAGAGGTAAGGTATGTTAAATAGAGCGCCATGGATGCTCAAGCTCCTTAATTGAGCGAGCTTAGCTTGCCGGGATACGGATGAATTCATTCTTTCCTAATGTTGTTTCAATAGTGATTATTGCATGACACAAAGATAAAGATTTTAACATCGTTGAAAGCAAGATGCGCCCTTGTGAAGCTTCTATACTGTATTTTGATCATGAAGTTTTTGATGAAAGCAACG